TGATCAAGTATTAACAGAGAAGCCAAAATGAGAAAGTAAAGTACCCTAAGAGGCAAACAGGAGAGTAGGGACAACTGCCAACGCTGTGGACAATAAAGCTTATGCTTCCAGAGCTGGGAGCTGATCTCCAAGGCCTCTCATAGGGAAGATGGTAACTGCCTGTACAAAAGCTCCAGCAACAACGAATGGACAGAGAAGTGCTTTAGGGACTTGACCTTCTAAATACTTCTCTAACCATCACAAAGCAGGGAGAGACATGTCTTCATAGACTGTTTTCTTGGTCTGCCCGCCACAAGATGTGAACTTCATTTTGGACTCCATGTAAAATGTTCATCTGATCTCAGCCTCTCATCCAGTCTCTGAAAAACACTTCTTGCCTCATCTATATGTCATAGGGTTGTTAGCATCAAATATTCAGAAATGTCAAAGCCCAGCAGTGTGACATTGGGCAGTTCACACAAACTGCCCTGATTCCTTACTGGCAAAATGAAGACTGGGTTAAAAAAATTCTTCCTCCTGGAAGTGACATTGGTTTAGAATTGGCTACAGGCTGCTATTTGGCTTTCAACACCGTGTGAGGTGGGCACGACTCCCACTGCTTTTCATAAAGTCCAACACTCATGCCCAGAAGCCTGCATGTCGGGGCCTTCACTCTTCTCCAGGGCAAGGTACAAGATTTAGTCTAACATTTTGAGGCCATCAAGACTAAAATCTCTCCTGTATATCTGCTCAAGAAAAACTTTTAAATTCTCAAATTGCATTTCTTAGAAATAATTCTCAATCATGAGGGCAATTTAGTTCCATGAAAGTGAAGCTACGATGACCAGTATCTGCTATTTCAGTAAGATGATTTAATTCAAAGAATGTACATCTTCAAATATAAGATGCAATTAGGCTCAGGTTAAAGTCTGAATTTATCTGAGATACTTCCTTCTAAGTTAATTAAGCTACAATTTTAACCTAGAAAGCAAAAACCTAAAAATAGTTTTATGTGTGTCACTCACTGCCAGAAAACAATACCTTTCTTGGGAAAATTTAGAAAAAACTGCAGCTGTTATTTCAGCCAATGCCAGAAAGAAGATACTCTTAACTTTTACCTGTTTATCAACCCATGAAAGAGGTAGGTAAGAATAAATGCTTAGCAGAGATGCTAGAAGGCCAATGTGCCTCCGAGTTTCAATTAGGTCTTTCCCTGAGCACCCTATCAAGTTAGGTTCATGGCTCAAACTATGTCAAATATAACAGGATTCCAGAGCAGCATTTCTGTTCTTCAAAAGAGACACACATCCTCTGTTTACAAACTAGAGATATAAACTTTTATTTCACAACTTTGTCATAATTCACTTTCTAGTAAGACATTTACTGAGGACATAGTTAAAATACTGAGAAAGCTAGATGCTGTCTTCCAGCAGTGCAAAGATGTGGTCACTCCAGGGCCGATGCGTTCTTGGGGCTTTCAGGCAGCAAGGGCCAGTTGCACCAGTATCATCCAACTCTGGTTTTACTTAGAGCCACCTCCTTTTTTAGGGCTGTTAGTCCTCATTTCGTGCCAAATTTTCACTAGAGGCTCCCTGTTCTTCCAAATGAGTTCATGACCGTAAGTAATATACCATCTGGGGAAAAGAAAAACAAAGCAGGTGCGACATTCAAACAGTATGCCAGACAAATGTTAAGTACCGTGATGATATCAACTTGACATTTAAAAATTAAATGCCACTGTCATTTACTATCTAGCTTATTAAAACAGCTGATTAATTTATTTGATGTAGATCTATGACTTCCCTTAAATATATGGAGTATATAAAAGGTCGAAGTAGGTTGGGACCATGTGTGACTGGTCTGAAGTGTAAGTGCTTCGCACACACTGCTATTGATTCACACAGCCCTGCAAGCTAAGCATCGCTTTTCCCATTACAGACCTGAGAAAATCAAGTCTGAGAGAAGGTAATCTGCCCAAGGTGCAAACAGCTTTTAAGTGGCCAATCAAGGACTCACCTGCAGGTCAGACCAATTCTAAGCCTGGTAAGAAATGTCAGAAGTAGAGTTTACTAATGATGACTATTTTAAAGTTTTCTAGTCATCTTCCACGTGGCTACACAAAGAGTTATCCGCCGATCCAAATTCTGCTCTACCCTTTAAAACATAGTTTCAATCCCCATTCTCCTGTTAAAAACTACCTAAAAGCAGCCTGTTGTAATGAAACAAAGAAGCTGAAGCACTGAGATGTTTAGTAACATAACTTGCTCAGGCTGCACAACTAAGAATCACCAGAACTAAGACTAGAACTCAAATGTGAGTCTGAAACCTGTGTTCTCACCTCTGTGCTACACTGCAGCATCTAGGGAACATCAACATAAGATTAGGAACACATAGTGAGTGATGAATGACAAGGGCCTATCTTTGTGAAGCCCACAGGCCAAGGTACTGTGACACTAGGCATTCTACCGAGAGCAGCACAGGCTGCAAATTAACTAGAGGGCACCTACCTCCCACCTCCCAGGCTGGGGAAGACTAGGTCCTTGATCTGGAATGGCTGTTAATGAAAGCTTTTATTACCAAAACCTTTATTTTTGCCCTGGTTTCCCCAGATTTCTTGTTCCCGAGGCACAGACCAGATTTTGTTGAACTTTACATCTCCCAGACACCTCACTGACTTAGACTGGTATCAGAAGAGCAGTTTAAAGT